TCCAAGATTTCACAAATCTGCAACTTCTGTTACAAATTTGAACAGCCAGCTGGTAAAGGCGGTGGTAGCTGAGTCACACACACTCCAGGCAATTAAAGAGCAATTTTTCTTTCTTTAGTACCAAGATTAGGTCGGGGTATAGAAGCTGTTTACTCCTATATAAAGAAGAAATGTGATAATGCCTTCTGGTTCTGCCAAGTCACTGCTCTGATTTAGTGTGGATGGTCAAATACTAAATTCTCCAGTCCCTTGCAATCCAGTTTTATTGCTCTAGCTACATTTTACACAGAATATTTACATTTTTCTCGCCACATATATTCCATAAAACCCAGCAAAATAAACACAAAACCAAAAAAAAAAAAAGCCTCTTCCTCCTTATCGCTGTGACTCTCAGAGTTCCCAGAGTAAATCCAATGCCTAGCATGGTGCTTAGCACACATTAAGCATTAGATAAAAGTCTTATTTCGGGAAGATGAATAAATGACTACGGTTACTAATACTGCATCGCATACTTGAAATCTGCTAAAAGAACATATCTTAAATATTTCACTATCCAAAAAAAGTCTTAACTATATAGAAGCAATGGATAGCAGATTGATTGTGGTAATCATTTTGTAAGGTATACATACATCACGTTTTACACCTTAAGAATATATCATTAACAAATTTTATTTGTTAATTACACTTCAATAAAACTGGAGAAGAAAGTATTGAGTAAGAGTGGAGTTTTTTCCTTTCCCAATTCTGATTAACATGCACAAATATTTTCATATTAGAATGTGGAGACAAAGCCCTCATTCGTAGTCATTAGAAACTATCTGTAAGCGCTCCTCCATTCCCAGCACACATGCTTATCTCCCCCACAACCCCGCCCCGTTCTTCTAGAAATCCTCTCCTATGCACACATTTGAAGACAATAATACATCAGTCCTAGTTTTAAAAGGAAACAGTTGGCCGGGTGCGGTGGCTCATGCCTGTACTCCCAACACTTCGGGAGGCTGAGGCGGGAGGATCACCTGAGCTCAGGAGTTCGAGACCAGCCTGGGTAACATGGTGAAACCCTGTCTCTACTAAAAATACAAAAATTAGCAGGACATGATGATGGGCGCCTGTAATCCTACTCGGGAGGCTGAGGCGGGAGGAGCACTTGAGCCCGGAAGGTCCAGGGTGCAGTGAGCTGAGGTCGCGCCAGTCTGGATGACACACAAAAAAAGGAACAGTTAACAAAGGCACGACTTCCCGCACGAGGACTTCGCGAACTCTGTTCTGGCCCGGGTAAAACTACTCACGATCCCACCACGCAACTGACCAGCTTTTCCTTTTCCTCCCTTCCCGCCCACAGGCACTCGCGTTGCTCCAGAATCCGTAGCTGCCTACACGCACAGCCTTAGACTCTCCACCGTCACTGTGCTCAAGTCAACCTGAAGAACACAAGGGAATTAGGGCTGGCCGGGATATCCGCGCACCGGCCCCCGCGGCGCCCCAGCCTCCCGGGCTCCGTGCCGTTACCGGTTGCCGGCTCGAAAGCCTTCTCCGTGCCAGAAGCGTCCGCCGGCTCCACGCGGGTCCCGCCACGGTAATTGAGCGGCTGCGACACAACAAAGGTGCCGGTGCTCATGGTGGCCACAGGAGACGACAGTAGACTGCGAAGAAGCAGAGAAACCGCGGCCCGCCCCGCTGGGAGAAACATAACAAGCTGACGCTGCTCCCGGGCCGACGCTGGGGCCCTCTGAGAGGCGGGGCCTCTGAGGGGCGGGGTCGCGGGAGTGGCGGGGTCGCGGGAGGGGAGGGGCTGCGAGAATCGGTTCTAGGAGATTCTAGGCGCAGTCAGTCACTCGGTACCTCTGCGGTCCAGTACAGGCCCTCGCCTCTCCAGGAGGGTGGGGCCAGACACCAGTCTCCCCCGCCCCTTCCTCTCTGTTCCCGCTCCCTAGCCCCGCCCCTTCCTCTCCGTCCCCCCTCCTTTCTTCCGCCCGCCCCTTCACCCCGTCGCACGCCATATCCGACACACACTCTAGGCGGGAAGAAGAGGACTTCCTTCTTCGTAATCAGTATTTGTGCCGCACTTAGCAAGCGTTTTCGGATTCTTCATTGCATGTAAGCATCCTAGGATCCCATTCTTAATCCTGTCGCCTGAAGAAGGCAGAGGATTGGAGTGCCAAGAGTTTTTGGTGGTTACTTCACTGACGAACCACTGTTTATCTGCATAATAGTTTTTAAAGGGTTACAGTAAAAACCAAGAGGACTGTGGAAGAGATAGACGATATTGTGATGTGAAACGGCTTTTTAAATTCATAAAGAGAGGCTGGGCGCGGTAGCTCTCACCAAGGCTGCGGGATCGCTTGAGCCCAGAAGTTTGAGGGCAACATAGAGACCCCGTCTCTACCAAAAAAAATTAAATATTAACCAGCTGGGCAGGGCACTGTGGCTTACTCCTGTAATCCCAGCACTTTGGGAGGCCGAGGTGGGCAGATCACCTGAGGTCAGGAGTTCGAGACGAGCCTGGCCAACATGGTGAAACCCCGTCTCTACTGAAAATACAAAAATTAGCTGGGTGTGGTGGCAGACGCCAATAATCCCAGCTACTCGGCAGGCTGAGGCGGGAGAATCGCTTGAACCCGAGAGGCGGTGAGCCGAGACTGCGCCACTGCACTCCAGCCTGGGCGACAATAGCGAAACTCAAAAAAAAAAGCTAGTGTGGTGGTACATGCCTGTGGTCCCAGGTACTTGGGAGGCTGAGGTGGGAGGATCCCCTGAGCCCGGGTTCCAAGCTACAGTGAGCCATAATCGCGCCGCTGCACTCCGGCCTGGGCAACAGAGCAAGACCCTGTCTCAAAATAAATTCTGAAGGAGCAATGTGAATGCTATTAATGACAAATATTGATAAAAACAGAGCACTACAGAATAAGAAGAGCAAAGGCCACAGGAAAAGGTGTCAGGAAACAAAATGCCTTCTGTAAGACGAAGCAGCCCCTCGGAGGCACTCACAGGTCTGTCAGCTGAGGCACCTTGCACAAAGGTTCATTCTTTTTACTAAACTTCCATGCACCTCCGGTAGAGACTTTCACAAACAAAGTAATTGGCGATTTGGGCATCTCAGGATTGTTTCTCTTCTAAGGGCTGCTTTCTCAATGTTTTTTCCTCGCCAGCACACTAGCACAATATTAGGGAGTGTGGTTTTCAGGTTTAGAGTAGATATGAAGTATTTGGATCAAATTTTCTGACACTCTATACCGGTTTGTTAACTTTTTCAATGCTACTGAGATGTGTAGGTCTTGATCCTCAGATGGAAACAGCAGTGCCCAAACTCAGAATGCCTGAGGCCACACTCACATATTATTTGTTATTATTGTCCATTGGAAACAAAATTGAAACGTATCAGGAGTTGGTGACAAGCAGCAATGTAGATTTCCAAGATCACTGAATAGTCGTTTGGTACAGAAACTACACATCTCAAATTTTATGGGACAATTTCTATTTAAAAAATCTGTTCCCAACCAGTGCATTTTGACTTGTCACATCATAATTCCTGATGTTTGTTTTGGAAATCTGGTCATGGTGACTGTTGAATTCATAGATTTTAAGACTGACAAACCTCTGGTCAGGCACAGGGCTCACACCTGTCATCTCAACACTTTGGGAGACCAAGGCAGGAGGATCACTTGAGGCCAGGAGTTCAAGACTTTCCTGGGCAACATACTGAGACCGTGTCTCTACAAAATATTTTAAAAATTAGGCCGGGCGCGGTGGCTCAAGCCTGTAATCCCAGAACTTTGGGAGGCCGAGGCGGGTGGATCACGAGGTCAAGAGATCGAGACCATCCTGGTCAACATGGTGAAACCCCGTCTCTACTAAAAATGCAAAAAATTAGCTGGGCATGGTGGCACGTGCCTGTAATCCCAGCTACTCAGGAGGCTGAGGCAGGAGAATTGCCTGAACCCAGGAGGCGGAGGTTGCGGTGAGCCGAGATCGCGCCATTGTACTCCAGCCTGGGTAACATGAGTGAAACTCCGTCTCAAAAAAAAAAAAAAAAAAAAAATTAACCGAGCGTGGTGGCACAAGCCTGTAGTCCTGACTACTTAAGAGACCGAGGTGGAGGATTACTTGAGCCCAGGAGTTCAAGATTTCAGTGAGCTACCACTGCTCCAGCCTGGGCAACAGAGTAAGACCCTTCCTCTCCAAAGAACAGATCTCCTCCAAAATATCTAGCTGTTAAATATTTAGCTGTTCCTCTTACCTATCTGTGCTTTTATTATTATTATGTTTTAACTTTTAAGTTCAGGAGTACATGTGAAGATTTGTTACGTAGGTAAACTTGTGTCATGGGGGTTTGTTGTACAGATTATTTCATCACCCAGGTATTAAGCCTAGTACCCGTTAGTTATTTTTTCCGGATCCTCTCCTTCCTTCCACCTTTATTATTAGATTATTAACATAATATTTTTCACTAACAAAATCCAACATGTAGAAAGAGCTTTATAGGTTACAGAGCCCTTTCACATTTAATTTCTCATCTGATGGTCATAATAACCCTACAAAAGAAAAGGAAACTAACACAGATTGAGCTAGGAGGTAGTATGTGGCACTTTGGTAAATATCTCAGTGGCAATCATGCAAGATAGGTTTTATTATCCCCATGGTACAGATGAGGAAACTGGTAGAAAGATCCTAGAGCTTCCCTATAGCGGAGATAAGGCTGGAGTCTAGCTCTGTGCAAATTCAAAGTAAATTTCCTCTTACTATACCAGATCCAGATGTTGACCCCATGAAGGTTGTCATCAAAATTCACTCTTTTTTTTTTTTTTGAGACAGAGTTTCGCTCTTGTTACCCAGGCTGGAGTGCAATGGCGCAATCTCGGCTCACCGCAACCTCCGCCTCCTGGGTTCAGGCAATTCTCCTGCCTCAGCCTCCTAAGTAGTTGGGATTACAGGCACGTGCCACCATGCCCAGCTAATTTTTTGTAGTTTTAGTAGAGACGGGGTTTCACCATGTTGACCAGGATGGTCTCGATCTCTTGACCTCGTGATCCACCCGCCTCGGCCTCCCAAAGTGCTGGGATTACAGGCTTGAGCCACCGCGCCCGGCCAAAATTCACTCTTATTTAGCGGATATCTCTGAGAAAACCCAGAGATCTGGTTCTAGGGAGAAGATTTGAAGGACATGTAAGCTTCTTGGGATGTTTATCAGTACTACCCAGTAAGCAGCCCTTAAACCACAGAGGATGGTGGCCAGTTTACAAGTTCAGGGTGAAATTCAAAGGGACAAAGATGCTACAAGGAGCAGAAGGAATGCCAAAAGCGAAGCACCCCTTAGATGGCTGTGTGTTGGAGGGCAGATGTGGGGATAGAACGAGATAGAAAAGGAGTGGAGTCATTGTTAATGGGGTAGAAGATCCAAGGAGAAACTGCCACCTCACAAGTTGCTTAAAGCCGAGCTTGGGTGCCACTAAAGCCCCCTCCATTTCCACATTTCCTTCCCCAGACAACCAGAGGAGGAAAAGAAAAGCAACTGGGTCTCCTTTCCCAATCTCCAAGCCTCCCAAAGAAGGAAGTCCTTGGGAACTCGTACTGTGTGATCCAGGGTCCTTGACTGGCCTCTCCCTCAGGTCATCCAGTTGCCAGTTGGTTGATTTGGCTTAGTTTCACCATTAGGAGTACTCTTATTGGATACAACCTCCAGAGTAAAAGAAAATGCTGGGTGCGATGGCTCGCACCTGTAATCCCAGCACTTTGGGAGGCAGAGGTGGGCAGATTGCCTGAGTTCAGGAGTTCAAGACCAGCCTGGGCAACATGGTGAGACCCCTGTGTCTCTACTAAAAATACAAACAAAAAAAAAAAAAAAAAATAGCCAGGTGTGGTGGTACACGCCTGTAGTCCCAGCTACTAGTGGAGTTGAAGCACGAGGATTGCTTGAACCTGGGAGGCTGCAGTGAGCCAAATTTGCAACAGTGCATTCAAGCCTGGGTGACAGAGCAAGACTCCATCTCCAAAAACAAAAAAAAAAAAGAAAGGGCCAGACGCGGTGGTTCACACCTGTAATCCCAGCACTTTGGGAGGCTGAGGCGGGCGGATCACGATGTCAAGAGATCGAGACCATCCTGGCCAACATGGTGAAACTGTCTCTACTAAAAATACAAAAATTAGCTGGGCGTGGTGGCGCGCGCCTGTAGTCCCATCTACTCAGGAGGCTGAGGTAGGAGAATTGCTTGAACCTGGGAGGTGGAGGTTGCAGTGAGCCAAAATCGTGCCACTGCACTCCAGTCTGGCACCTGGTGACTGAGCGAGACTCTGTCTCAAAAAAATAAATAAAAAAGAAAGAAAGAAAAGATCTTTAGGGATCACCAGCTCTTTGTCCTGTAGAACTGTTAATACATTAAACACGCATACACCACATTTATTTTTATTTCCTGAACAATAGTATGTCTACTATTATAACTACTTCATTGGGGAGCCAGAAAACCATCCACACAAAAAGAAGGGAAAACATTATTCAAAATCCTGTTCCTGCCCATTTTAACAGGGCCTTTCACTTAACCATAGTTTATAGATTGAATTTTAAGCCTGAGTGCCCTCACATTCTTATGCACGGAATATAATTTTCTCACTGAAGACCTAACAGATTTCCTAATATAGGCAGCCTGACACTAGGATTAGGTCTGTAATAAATATTTGTTGAGTGATCACACGAACAGTAATTCAAGTCAGGTTTTACAAACCTGGACTTTGAAATCACTGTCTGATGAGGATGTTCCCTCTAATGCTAGTTAGGCATCTCTGCTTGGATAATCTAGTCTTTTTCATTTTTAACAGCTTTTTAGGCTATAATACTCATATTTTCAAAAATAGGTTTAATTTATAAACCTCAGGTAATATGAAACAGAGTATGTGAAAGCGTTCTAAAAATTAGAAGGCACTATACAATTGCTATTGTAATAACAATGTTCATAGTTTGCAGTGCCTTCCTGTTTTTCTCAAACGAAATTCAGGGTCATTGACGTTGGAATTTGTTCTTGGAGTTGATAATCAGCTAAAGATGAAAGGTTATTGACCTTACAGAAAAATTTAGAATCTGTCTGTCATGTAAGACAGTAGCATTATGTAGAAATTATTCCAACTCTTTTAAATGTATAAGATATAAAAATGAGAGTTTCAGAAGGGTTTTAAAAAAAAAAAAAAGGATATGATTTTTGCTTTTTAGGATAGGGTCTCACTCTGTCACCCAGGCTGGAGTGCAGTGGTGTGATCACTGCTCACTGCAGCCTCAAGCTCCAGGGCTCAATTAATTCTCCCATTTCACCCTCCTGAGTAGCAGGAAATACAGGCATGCACCAGCATGCCTAATTTTTCTTATTTTTTGTAGAGACAGGGTCGCACCATGTAGCCCAGGTTGGTCTCGAACTTCTGAGCTTAAGCAGTCTTCCTGCTTCAGTCACCCAAATTGTTGAGATTACAAGTGTGGGCCATCGCCTGTGTATACTGATATGTGTATCAGTGGTTGTGTCAGTGTTTTTTCTGGGCATTCACCTGAAGTCCCAGCTACTTAGGAGTCTGGGGTGAGAGGATCTGAGGGGGAAGGATCACTTGAGCTGAGGACTTTTAGACCAGACTGGGCAACACAGAGAGACCCCATTTCTTAATAAAAAAAAAAAAAAAAAAAAAAATTTAAAAACCTTCTAAGAGACCACATGCAGTGGCTCACACCTGTAATCCCAGCACTTTGGGAGGCCCAGGCAGGCAGATCACCTGAGGTCAGGAGTTCGAGACCAGCCTGGCTAACATGGTGAAACCCTGTCTCTACTAAAAATACAAAAATTAGCCAGTTGGGGTGCGCATGCCTATAATCCCAGCTACTCGAGAGGCTGATGCAGGAGAATCAGTTGAACTCGGGAGGCAGAGGTTGCAGTGAACCGAGATTGAGCCATTGTGCTACAGCCTGGGTGACAGAGTAAGACCCTGTCTCCAAAAAAGAAAAAGGAAAAGCACTAAGAAAAAAAAAATTAGGGTGCTTTCTCCTGTTAATCTGTTTTATGTTATTTTGATTCTCCAGCCCAATCAGGAGTCTAAGAGAACAGAGGTGGAGTTTTGCCACCCTTACAAGCTGAATTTGCCCATATGGCTTGTTTTCTTAGGGCAGAATCCTAGAAGAGGAATTGCTAGTGTAACCAGGGGAGCATACTTAGCTCCCAGTTCTCAAGAGGTTCTTAGCTTCGCTAACCCCAAACAATGGGGAAAGGGGCCCTGGAGGCACAGTGAGTTTGCCGTTCAAATAAATATCGTGGACCCAAAGAGTTTTGCGAAAAGCAATTTATTAGAGAGAGAAAGAAAGACAGCTCCCACGCTGTCATGGGAGGGGACCCAGAGATGGAATCCCTATAGAGAAGGAGTAGCTGGAGTTTTAACTTTTGAGTTATTCCAACCCCATTTATGTCCTCGTCCAAAGAGAGGCGTTCTTTCAAACTTTGTGGAGTGATTGATCTTTGAGTGTGATAGCGGATTGGCTACTTGGTCCACAGCCCTGAGTTAGAGTCCCCTCCTCCGAGGGCTTTCAGCAAGCTTTTCGGACAAAGGAGCTTCACCTGGATTTCCCTATCTCACCCGCCCACGAGAAACCCAGACAAAAAACTTTACATTTGCAACCGCTCTGGTTCCTGGATTGAGGCGTGGAGCCGGGAAACTCCTGCCTTTGAAACCACGCCCCTCCTGGACCCAGGAAGAAAAGTCCCTCAGTCCGCCCTCTGAACAGTAAAGTCCAGCTGCTGTTGGGACACGGGTGTTGATTGCTCTTTAACTACTTCCTGCTGAATTGGGGCATAGAAGGGGCCCTGTAGTTGAGGTTTCCTCCAGAGGGGAGTCTTCCAGGGGTGCAGGTTGATCCAGAGGTCCACGATAGAACTCAAGCCAAGTACATTTGGGGTTTCATTTGCAGGACCATTTGTAGTCTCATGGCCTCAATTCTAGAAGAAACTAATTTGACAAGAAGGTTAAAGATGAGAGACCCAAAGGCCAGCGATAATAGAATGGTTATAAACTGGCCTAGAAGAGGGTAGAGCCAGGACAGCCAGTTGTTAAGCTCTGCGATCCTGTTTTTTGAAGGTCTTTAGCCCTGCGTTCAATTGATCCCTGAGTTCTTTAACTTTGTTTAAGACAATACCTGATTGGTTTACAAAGTAGCAGCATTCTTTTGCTAAAAGAGACAGGTTCCTCCTCGTTCTGCTGTTAGCAGATCCAAGGCCCTGAATAGCAGCAGCAGCTAAAGAGTTAAGCTGCTTCTGCAGAGATAATTGGCAACCTTTTCCATGTTATCATTTAACTCCTGAGATAGCTTATAGTAAAACTGGTAGAGGTAGTAATTCCTCCAATGCCAGTACCAAGTCCTCCTATTATTCCTGCCCCACTATGAAAGGAATAATTGGGGTTCGATTATGGTGTGGCCTTGGCAAGAGAAGACTCTGCACCTGAGAGTCAGTGTAAATCATCGTGGGGGGCACTAGGAAGGAGAGGAAGCATATTTCCCCAGGGGTATTGTTCAGGCAGCAGTAAACTGAGGTGCCTCAAAGAATAAGCCTGGTGCTAGGCAGCTGAGGTCTGGGGATCAGGCAACCCAGTTTTGGCATAGGGAAGCACTGGACTTGTTAGTAGAGAGTTTACACAAGTGAAGTTTGAGGTAGATGGAATTTGTAGATTGGTGACCAAGGGACCTGTAAGCCCCATATGATTTGAAGGAGTAATAATATCAGAGGAAGAGGTGGAGAGCTATTAGGCCAGTCCTTAGGGACGACCACGTAGAGCCTGGTCGCAAATAGTAAAGTTAACAGTGATAGTCCTGTTAATGCCAGGATGTAAGTTAGACTCAGTACTTTCCTGGGGATTTCGTCAGAAGACCAAATGTAGAGCCTCTAAAGGCTCACAGGTGTGTGAAGGGTCATCTTCTGGAACTTCAGGCTGTGGAGTGGGGGGCCTATGATTTACTTCAGGAGGTGTCCAAGGCTTCAGCTGAGTGTGATAGATCCACAAGTTAATTCCCGCCACCTTAA